CCTACTTATGGTTGTGTTTGCAGGGTTGGGGAGCTGAGTATCATCGCCAGGATGTAACGAGCACTCCATGCTGGATAGAGATACATCTTCATGGTCCCCTTCAGTGGCTGGATAAAGTACTTACTCAGATGGGCTCTCCTCATAATCCTATTTCTTCAGTGTCTTAAAAGGTCCCAAGCTCCTGCAATTTGGAAACAGTTGAGCCTTGCATGTACTTGAAAGACGTATGAGTCAGACACACACATTTGTATTTCTTTTCCCCCTGAACTGGCAACAGCTGAATAAGAGCCATGAAAACACTTGACTTCTGTGACCAACTGTTGGATTCGGAAAAACAAGATAAATAAACCACTCTGACATGCTGTTGGTATAAAGAATTTTAGTTTACATTGTAACATACTATTGCAACGTTGATTTGCAGGCTTAGTCCAACAGGGATGACTGAGCCAGAACCACAGTCTGTTGGATCAAGTTCCTGGAGGATCTTCCTGTATCTGGCACACTTGAGGTTCTCCTTCCTTACATTCAGCACTGGCTGTTTTCCTCTGTGGAGCTAAGAGCAGATGTTGGCAAAGGCTGCTTTTTGCAGGCTCTCTTCATATTTAGAAACATTTGTCTCAATTGCTGGTTGCTGTTCTCTTGAAAAGCAAACAGAAGTCCTAAGGCTTAATCTCACTGTGTACTATCTTTGAAACTGTGTCCTGACCATACTGCTGTAAGAATGTTAGGTATGTTTCTTTTGCTAAATGTATGTATGGTGTCTTTGAAAGTTTAGAAATCAATTAGATTTAGACCATAAAGGAATTAGGAATATCTGACTGGGGGGAGGTGGGAGCGGGAAGGGAAAATGACAACTGAAATGTAGAATATATTGTAAACATAGCGTGTTAGTTTAAACCCAGGTCTGAATTTTGCTGTGCATTTTGTTTTTATAGTGGCTTCATCTTGTTAATTCTGACTATTTTTGCCTCTTCCTTCCCTCCTCAAACAATTGTGCAGCTCCTTTTACCCGTGAAGAGGATGAAATGATTAACTGCTGCAGTTTGAAGGCTGCAGCTCTATGTATTACAAGACAAAATTGTACAGAGTGCTCTTTAACTATGGGGCAGTTTTATACAGTTTATGTAACAGAAGTAGGCTTTTAATTTTGTAAGAGATTCTTGTTTTGCCAAACCTAGTAACTGTTAATTGTTTGGAGGACTTCAATATCCCTGTGTGGGTCTATTTCAAACTTTAAAGAAACAAAATATATATATTTTTAATTTTTATTTTTTTTTACTGCTTGGTTTATTTTCTTCTCTTTGATCTTTTATATTTCACGTAAGCTGTAGTACTTTTAAGTACCTTTATTCCAAAACTAGTGGGTCCTCTTTACTGGAAGTTTTGAATAAAACCTGTTGTTACTGCTTACATTTGACTAAAACCTTGTCTTGTCCACTTCTTAGTAGACTCTTAACTAGCCAGATAAAGATATGGTTTTGGAGAAGGAAAAACTGCAAATGAAGATATGCTGAGTTTAGACATAAATGATTAGTACAGATTAGTAGCTCTACTAGACTCAGTGCATGAGATTAATGAAGACTCTAGAGAGAAAGATTTCTCAATCAGGCAGGATTAGAATGGATGCAGTAACACTGAAGCATCCTGACCATTTTGTTTAAGTTCTGTGAGACTTCAACATACAATTTCTGTATGAGAAGAGATTTTGCTGAGGTTGCACCATCAACAGGCTCTCACTGCTCCTTGCCGTGGTTGTAGTGAAGAGCCTCCATGTTCCTTGGTTGAGGAGAAGCCCTCCATGAGCTGCAGTGTCAGCTCAGCCCAGAAACCAACCAAATCCTGAGCTACAGCCAAAGGAGTGTGGCATTGGGTCAAAGGAGGTGATTCTCCCCTTCTACTCTGCTCTGGTGAGACCCACCTGGAACACTGCACACAGTTCTGGTGTCCTTAAGGTAAGAAGGACATGGAACTGTTGGAGCAAGTCCAGAGGAGGCCACAAAGTTGCTAAGAGCACTGGAGCATCTCCCCTGTGAGGACAGGCTGAGGGAGTTGGGGCTGTTGAGCCTGGAGAAGAGAAGGTTGTGTGGAGACCTCAGAGCACCTTCCAGGAGCTGAAGGGGCTCCAGGGAAGCTGCAGAGGGATCTGTGTTAGGAGCTGCAGGGACAGGACAAGGGGCAATGGGCACAAATTGAAAGAGGGAAATTTAGGTTAGATATTTTAAAAAGTTCTTTTTCTGTGAGGGTGATGAGACATTAGCACAGGTTGCCCAGGGAGGCTGTGGCTGCCCCAATCCTGGCATTGTTCACAGCCAGGTTGGCTGAGCCTTGAGCAACCTGCTCTGGTGGGAGGTGTCCCTGCCCAGGGCAGGGGGTTGGGACTAGATGGTCTGTAAGGTCCATTCCAACCCTTAAAATTCTATGATTCTATGATTCCTCTCCCCACACCTTTGCCTTTGCTGTGGGGAGAGGTGAGGGAAGGGCTGTCCCTTTGCAGCTGCAAAGTGTCTATCAGGTTCTGGGATGAGGGAGCTGGAGAGACTTGGGGTTGACTGGAGTTCCAGTGCCTGTGCCTGGCTAGAAAGGACCATGCAGGACTAAGAGGAGCATGAGGGAAGGCTGAGCAGCAGAGATGAATGTGTGTTCAGCCAGATGAGTGCATGTGTATGTCACTGTAATGAGTAATAACCCTTTTTGGAGAATGAGTCAATCCCACCTCTCTCTCTTTTTTTTTCCTTTTTCTTTTTAAGTTAATTCCATTGCTTGATTCAATATACATTTTTAAAATTAACATCTTTTCCCCTGCTAAGAGGGAAAGAATGCATAATGCTCAAGTTTGCTATTGAGGAGAAATTGGCTGGTGACTTCTTTGTATTTTGAAATTCCAGGAACCGCTATTTTTTTTTAGATTCATTTAATATATCTTTTTCATAAAGAAGCAGTCAGAGCGCAAATGCAAGTCTTTAAAATAAAAACAATTTAAAGATGACCAAAGAGAGAAAGAATGCTGTTTGCTGTTCAGTCACTGTGTCTGGTTTTTTATCTTCAGCCCCTGCTACATTAACTCCCAGCTCTTCCCAACCAGTTTCATTCCTTTTGGTGGAATGCAGCAGTGTGAGGTAGTGACTTTTGTTTTATTACTGCTGTAAACCATCCCTCGTGCAAGTCTTGAGAGTGTTTCTATTTGGATGCTTTCATATTTGGATGATCCTGTGCAAGTTTTGGTAAACTTTGAACTAGCTCTGGAGTAAGAAAAGACAGTTTTATGTTGCTGCTTTGAATATTAGTGTCATTTATGTTTTGGGCTGTAATGCCTCTCTATTTTTCCTGAACAGGGATAAAAATCAGTTAACTACTAGCTCTGTAGCACCTCAGAAACTTTCAGTGGTAATGTGAACTAAGTGGGATCTGCAGGGTCCCAGTTTTTGTAAGTTCCTTCTGTTGTCAATTTTTCTATTCTGTTGATATTGCCAAAGTGCTGCATGCATATTATTTTCTTTATCTGCTATCCAGATTTTTGTTTGTGGTGTGGAGACATCAGGTGCAAGGACCTCCATGTGATGTTTAAAGCTGTGCTTTATTAAACAAGCTGAGTGGATGGAGCAGCACCTGAGACTCACTGGTGGTTTTGGCTGGGCTAGAGTTAAGTTTTTTTCCTAGTAGCTGGTATGGGGGGTTGTGTTTTGGATTTGTGCTGGAAATAGTGTTGATAATGCAGGGATATTTTTGTTGCTGCTGAGCAGAGCTTACACAGAGTCAAGGCCTTTTCTCACCCCACCCCACTAACAAGGAACTGAGGGTGCACAGGGAGTTGGGAGGGGACACAGCTGGGACAGCTGACCCTGACTGACCCAAGGGATATTATTCCATACCACATGGAAAACTGGGGAAGAAGAAGGAAGGAGGGGATGTTTGCAGTGATGACTGTTGTCTTCTCAAGTTGTTGTTAAGCATGATGGAGCTGTGCTTTCTTGGAGATGCTGAACACCTTCTGCCCATGGGAAGGGGTGAATGAATTCCTTGTTTTGCTTTGCTTGTGTGTGCAACTTTTGCTCTACTTTTTAAACTGTATCTCAACGCACAAGTTTTCTCACTTTTATCCTTCCAATTCTCTCCTCCATCCCACCTGGGGCCAGTGAGCAAATGAGCAGCTGTGTTGTGTTTAGTTACTAGCTGGGATTAAATGGACTGATAGCCAGAAACAGAGGAGGTAGGACAAGTTACCTTGGAGGAAGCAACTGCTAGCTTGAAGCTCTTGTGAAGATTTTTTGGAGCATTTTGAAAATGTTTGTTACTGATTTGCCTCACTTTGGATAATTGGAGTCAGAAAGCTGGAAAAAGCAAAGGACAAGACAGAAGGCAAAAAGTTTCTTGCTGACCTCTTAGAAAACAGAGAATGAGGAGAGCTAGAAAATTGCACAGAGCCTACAGTGTCAGCTCTGTAACCAGGTGAGTTCCTGCTGCTTATTTGGTTTTATTTCTCCTGTTTAGTCTTCTGAACAGAAGAGTTAAACACAGAAGACACTACTTAAATGTGAAAAGACAAGTCTCTGTTAGGAGAAACTGCAAAGATGTGGATAACTGTTTAGAAAATGTACTGAGGAAGAGCAGTGAACAGTGTATGTGGAGACAAGTCATTCCATGGAGCTGAATGTCTTTTCAGTGATTTCAACAGAGCTTAAATCTCTGCTTTGGCTTTTAAGTGCTGAAAAATAATTCTCCCCAAGTGGAGATGACTGTTTAACAACGTAAAAGTGTCTGATAAGCCTTTGAAAGATTCGTTGAAAGCTAAGAGAGGTACTCATGGTTACCTGTGTGGTTTTAGGAAGGTATGGAGAGAAATAATTCATGTTTTAACATATCCTCTAATGTTTGCTGACCTGGTGTATTGCTATCTAGTTTGTTAAAGCCATTTGCTTGCTAAATCCCTTCTCTAGCTACTGTAGCTGTGTTTTCATAACTGTAGTTGTCTTTTCTAGCCTCAAAGAATGCAGTTCTGTGAGAATTGTTGTTTGTAGACAACAAATCAGTGCAGAGATGTCTGAAATTAATATGGCTCTTTCCTGGTGTGCCTGTCTCCTTGATTTTTCCTCTGTCTTGCCCCTCTTCACACCTTTGATTGGCACCTTGGAAGTTAGCTGTGTTTTGATGCTCTCTTTATGAGTTGCTGCTGGTTTGTTCTGTGCAGCACACTGGAGCCTCTTAATCTGCTCTTGAGCTTCATGATTCATAACTGTGAACTGGCAGTCACCTTTTTCTGGATGCATGCCTAAATATACAGCATAACTCTACCATCACCAGCTATGGCAGAGCAGTATTTTTTTACACACATCATCTCACAGTTCA